TCTAATATGGTGTTTGCTGTAAATGAATTTTATTATGTTGAGGTAAATTCCTTTTACTTCTGATGTTATTTATTTTGCAAATCATATTTAATTTTGTTAGATGTTTTTTCTGTATCAATGGAGATTAACGTGTGTTTTTTCCTCTTTTGTTAATGTGGTATACTACACGATCAGTTGACCTGCGTTGAATCACCCTAGCATTCTAGGAATAAATCCCAATTCATGGTGTGTAACCTTTGGCTATTTAAGAGTATTTCCTTACCTTGTGTGTGATTGTTCTGTCCATCATGGAGAGGGAAATAGTGAAGTCTCCATTTGTTACCATAGAGCTCTCTGTTTCTCTGTTGAGTTTTTTTTTTTGCTTCATACATTTTTATGGTCATTAAGTATGTAAATGTTTACCATATTTTCTTGCTGTGTTGAACTTTTTAATTTACGTTTAGTGTCCTTCTTTGTGTATTTTTTCACTTAAATTGTATTTTGTCTGTTGCTCTTATAGCCACCCCTGCTTCATTTTGTTAATTATTTGTATGGAATATTTTTTTCACTGCTTCCCATATGCTTTTGTCTTTCAACCTGAAATCAGTCCATTATAGAGACTAATTATGTTTTCATCTTTCTGCAACTTCGATTTTTTGGACAGTTTAATCCATTTATATTTAAATAATAAAGAAGAATATACTTCTATCATTTTGTTAGTTTCTATATGCCTTACAGTTTTTCCACTTTATTTTTGTATTACTGTCTGTTCTTTTTTCTTCTTCTTTCTTTCTTTTCTTCTTTTTAATACCACTGAGCTGTATCCCAGGCTTCTGCATTATTGTCTTTTGTGAATAGTTGCTATTTTGTACTGAAATGTTTAGATTTCTTATTTCCTATATCCTTTGGCTGTTTTCTTTATGGTTGATGAGAGAATTAAACTTAACAAGCAAAAATTTCAACACTTAAGTTTGATTTTTTTTTTTTTTTTGGTACTGAGGATCAAACTTACAACCTGGTACTTTGCCAGGCAGAAGGTGCTTGTGCTGCTAAGCTATACCCCTGGCCCCCTCAAATTTGAATTTTATACAGCTTAATTTTAATAATATGAAAACTCTGTGCCTTATAGTTCCCCACCTTTTTCAATAGTATCACAAGATTTCATCTTTATAGATTATCTAAAACCATAAACTAATCATTATTCTAAATGTGCTTCTCTTTTAAATTCTGTAGAAAATCATATATATAGAAGAAGCCAAAATTAAAATACTGACTTTGAGATTTTAACAGTCTCTTAAATCAGTAGAAAACAAAAATGTAGGTACAAATTACTATAATAATATTTTTGTAACAATCTATATGTTATTTTTTTGGTACTGGGAATTAAACTCAAGACCTTGTGCTTGCCAGGCAGGTACTTGGCTGAGCTGTGTGCCCAGCCCTATATGTCTATCTTATGTTGAAGTCTTTTTCTTTATACAGCTTTGGGTTGCTATCTGGTATTCTTCATTTCTTCGGACTACTTTGACCATTTCTAGTATAGGTCTTCTGGTAAGGAACTGTCTCAGCTTTTGTTTTTCTGAATATTTTAATATCTTCCTCACATCGTTGTTTTTTTTTTTCCTTCTTGAGACACAGAGTCTTGCTATGTAGTTCAGATTGGCCTTAAATTCACTGTGTAACCCAGGTTGACCTCAGGCTCCTGAGTGCTTACAGGTGTGTGCCACCATCCCAGTTCTCTTCACATTTGAAGGACAGTTTTGCATAATACAGGTTTCTTTGTTGACAGTTTTTTCTTTTAGCTTTTTGAATGTAGGGGTCCAATGCCTTTGACTTCAAAGCTTCTGATATGATACCTGCTAGTTATCCTTTGAAGATCCCTTGTATGTGACAAAATGTTTCTTGCTGCTTTCCAGATTCTTCTTCTTTTTTTTTTGTCTTTTTCTTTTTTATCGGTACCAGGGATCGAACTCACAACCGCACACTTGCAAGTCAGGTGCTTATGCCACTGAGCTAAATCCCCAGCCCCTTGCTTTCCAGATTCTTTATCTTTGGGCTTTTTTTGGTTTGTTTTGCTTTTTGAGAGAGGGTATCACTAAATAGTTCAGGCTTGCTTGAACTCACATTGCTCTTGCTGCCTCAGCATCCCAAATGCCGGGGTTACAGGTGTGTGCCACTATGCCTGGCCATGTTTGGTTTGTGAGAATTTTATTATATAATGTGATTTGGGATGGGTCTCCTTGAATTCATTTTATTTTAGATTTCATTGAATTTCTTAGATATTTTTATGTCTTTCATACATTTGGAAAGTTTTTTAGCCCTTATTTCTTAAAAAATTCCTTGTGCCCCTTTCCTCTTGTCCCTGGGTCTCTCAGGATTCATGTGTTGATCCACTTGATGCCCAACAGGTGACCTAGATTCATATCACGTTAGGCTTTGTTTATGCTCCCCATTACTAGTAATTTCCATTGTCGTGCCTTCAAGGCCAGATGCTTTTGCCTGCTGAGATCGATCCTTGGATCCTTCTAGTGAATTTGTTATTTTAGTTATTATATTTTTTAGGTTCATAATTTCCTTTTATTTTCCTTTTTCCTGTGTCTTTGTTGCTGTTTCCATTTTGTTCAAACATCATTTTCTTGGCTTTCTCCACATCTTTGTTTAGTTCTTTGAACATTGTAAAGACAGTTGTTTTAAAACAATCGTCTAGATTAGCAACCAGGTCTTCTTTTTAGGGATAGTTTCTGCTGCTTAATTAGTTTTTCAGTTTGAATTGTCATATTTTCCTGTTTCTTTCATGTCTTGTTTTTTAATTGAAAATTGGACATTTGAATCTCATGTGTTTACTCTTGAAATTGCCTTTAGATCTTTACTCATGTCACTTTTTCAGTGAATCTTGCTCTGACCACTCATTTGAAGTTGCAGACCTCTCTTCATGAATGCTCCCTACCCCTTTGGTTCATTTAGTTCCTTAATCTCTTTAACATCTACCAGCCACATGTATATTGTTTATTTTCTCTCCCCACTGGAATGTAGACAGATTAAAAAAAAATCTTTTTGTTTACTGCTGTACCTGTGGCACTTAAAACTATGTTACCATATAATAGTCCTCAGTTAATATTGTTAAAAACGGTGGCGAGTATGTCTCAGTTAGCCTGAAATAAATGCTTAGTATGTATGTATGTATGGTATTTATTTTAGGAGCCTTTTTGAGATAGGGTCTCAGACTCACTATGTAGCCTAGGCTGGCCTTGAATTTGTGGTGATCCTTCTGCATCAACTTCTTGAATGCTAGGATTATAGGTGTGTGCCACCACACCCAGTTTAGTATTTATTTATACCGTAATTTCACAATGAAGTAGAGGTGAAAAACTGTGTAGTAGACAAATGGGAGCCCCTAAGAATGTTTTAGACTGGAAGAGACATTTGACCGAATATATAGAAGTAGTTGTTGTATCTTGCAGAGTAAGGCACTGGATTTTGGAAACGCATACATATAAGATTTGATACCAGGTGATTTGAGAGCCTTATCCGGTCTTCCTGCAGCTCTTCCCCTCCGCATAGATTTCTGTAAGCCAAGGTGACTGGTCTAATTTGTCTCTTTGTTGGCCAGTCTTCATACTACTTAGATCCCAGGATTCTGCCCATGTGTCTCTTCACAGGTTTCACCTGGGTTGCTCTCAACTACCAAATGCATGGGCTTCTCTAAAGGAAGGCTCAGGAAGGAGCAGCTGTTTGTAGGCATGTGACTAGAGTGTGTACGTGTGGGCAGGATGCCCATCTGCATGCCTTTAGGGTCTGTGGTGGTGTAGTGTGGAGCTGGAGGTGGCAGAGAGGAGTAGTAGCTTGGCTGTAGGTCAGGGAAGGCAGTATAGCTTTCTTTATTCCAGGAAGTCTGACATTCAAAATCAGACTGTGCCCACTTGGGCTGTTGTAAAACATGTTTGTTTTACATGAGATGAGAGGAGATGATACCAATTCAACAGGTTTTTTTCTTGATTTACAAATTTAAAATATTTAGGCATATGGTGGTGTATATAGCCTTCTTTTTGTACTTTTGCCTGCAAACCCTTGAAAGTTAGGTTTTACTGCAAAAGGGAACTTTGAAAGAGTAGGGAGGGAGGGATAAGTAAATTCAAAGTAAGAGTTTCAAGCGAGAATGAATAGTAGTTTCAAGTGCTTCTGAGTCTTTATGGCTTATGAAGAAAAATACATCCTTTAAACTTGATAAATAGAATTCAGTAAACATTTCAGTTGAGGAAGGAAGAGTACCTGAGAAAGCAGAAAATGGAGACAATATAAAAGATTTCATTGACTTTACCTGAAAATGGAATTAGAGCAGTAGCTAGGGAGATAGAACTGCAGAAAAGGGCTTTTCCATTTTTAAGATGGAGAGGGTTGTAAAAGCATTTCTATGTTAAAGGAAAGGAGCCAGTAAGAGAAGGTTAAGGAAAAAAGGGATTATCGGTGAATCAAGGCCCAAGATCAAGTGTATAAATCTAACAGTCAGTCTCTGAAAGGAGGAGGGAGATGTGAGAAGGCAGATGTAATGTATTAAAGTTGAGTTTAAGAGGTGAGAGGGCAATAAGCAGTGATCATAGATAAGCAGATTGTGTATTCTTAATGTTGGTTTGTGGTAGTCTCTTGGGTTAGCTTTCTAAGTTTGAGTTCCTACTCTTAGAGAGCAGAGGTTATACCTTAACTGTTTATTAAAGACTTGCTGGTTGATTGAATTGTAATCTGTGATATGAGGCATAGGTTATGTATGTTGGGTCTGTCCTTAGTAATTATTACTTAGTAGTGACTTAAGATTTGAAGTTTGGTAAGAAAAAAAAAACACACCAAAACCTCCAATTTCACAATAACATAGAAATAATGTTTTTACAATGTTGATGTGAATGTATATAATTAAGCTTTGGAGATAATTTATTTTAATAAGTGATTACTATGTGAATCATACCTATTCTGGGAAAAATGTTTTTTTAATAGAATCATATTAATATTTTCTTTTCCCTTCTCACTAGTAGTTCCAAAGAACTGCTGGTTCAGATTTTAGCTCTTGCCAAGTTGTGAAAATAGTGAAGGATGCTTAAACTACTTAACATTCAAATTGTAAGTAAAGTTTATTTCTACTATCACTATGTATATTTAGAAAACAGTTGGAAATAATCATTATCTTACGTGATAACAGTGTGCTTTAGTGTGACAGGACTGTGAAATTTTTTCTTAAATTTTCTTTTCAGAATACAAAGTATTCCTATTTCAAGTTTGTAAAATGAAAAAGAGGACTATTGGTATTGAATCATTCTTAGTGAGATGAAATTTCTGCTTTTAATTAAAAGGTGTTCTATTTTGTTTTCTTCTAAAGCCTAATGAAAATTCTTTATTAGTTTATTTCTATATCTTTAGTCTGATGCTAGTCAGTAAACAGGGATAATATTAATGAATGACTGATTAGAAATATATATTCTTGGGCTGGGGATTTAGCTCAGCGGCATAAGCACCTGCCTTGCAAGCAGGCGGTCGTGAGTTCGATCCCCGGTACTGATAAAAAGAAATAAATAAAAATAAAAATAGAAATATATATTTTCTCTTTATGCTTACTTTGTCTATATTCTTGAAATATGATTTAAAAAATTCTGTTAGAAATTTTGGTACTTACTGTGTATGAAAGATTTAATAATCACAAAATCAAATAAAGAGTAACTTTGAGGAGTAATTCTTTTAGGAATAATTAATGCATAAATCTAGATGATACACATATGATATTTGTCTCAGGAAAAAAAAAACCTTCAGAGCCTTTGTTAAGTAATTACTTGAAACAAGCTGGGCATGGTGGTGCCTACTTTTAATCCCAGCACTTGAGAGGCTGAGGCAGGAGAATCGTTGCAAGTTCAAGACCAGCCTGGACTACAAAGTGAGCTCACGGCCAGCCTGAACTGCATACTAAGATCCTGTCTCAAAAAGACCAAAAAGAAAAAAAAAATTACTTGAAACAATTTGCTGTATTGCTTTGAATTACAGTAATAGCAAAACATTACTGAGGAAAGAATGATAAAAACTTCAGAGGCATTCTGAATGGTTTTACTACTTTATTTTTAAACTGCTTTATTTGAAAGTACAAGGAACTCAGATTAACCTAACAATTCTTATATTAAATGTGAATATAAATGAGATTACTTGTTATAAGCAAAAGACAATTTTAATTATATTATTCAAACAAACAAACAAGCCAAATGTGCCAGAGAAGAATGGACTGTTTAAAAATTAACAAATTAAATTAAATTAATTTTAATTTGTTAAATAGATAGTTTTAGAAATTGTCTCAGCCTAGTACATTTTATGTGTACAATACATAAAAAGATTTTTAAAATTTCTTTTAAAGTATTTTGGGATAAAATATATCTTCATAAATGGAGAAAATTGTAATATTTTATCTCCTGGAATGTAACTCTAATAACATCACCTGTATGCAATGTTTGGTAAGAATTTACTCCATGAGTTCCTAAGCTTGACTCTAAGAAGTAAGTGCTCATTACTGCCCTCTTTTGGGGATATGGATGGAGCCTGTCTTCCTTCTCTAAGTTAAAACAATGTTAAAAGTGAGATTGCAAACTAAGTTATGCTTTATATCCTTCTTGTGTATTTTTTTATAACTTTCAAAATTCTCCCTCTTTTTAGGCTGTCTGGTTAATCATCTTTAGAAGACTGGATTTCTGGATATCTACTCTCCATCTCTGTTGACTTTTAAAACATAATTTAGACCTATAATACTGGCAATCATCTGTGAACTCTGTGAACCTTTAGTTACATTGATTCGTAACGTTTGACGCTTCCTCAGGGGAAAAAACAATGGCATCAGCAGTGGTTGACAGTGGAGGTTCTATTTTGGAGCTTTCCAGCAATGGAGTAGAAAATCAAGAGGTTAGGCATTCAATGTTTTACATTTCTGTTTTGTTCATAGACATTAATGCATAATCTAGTTCTTCAACAGTGGAAAACAGATACTTGGAAGTAGAAATATATAATGCATGACATTATATATGTAATGTGCCGTGGATCCTTCCATAATTTAGGTAGTAAGTTGAGGAAGGAACTATATTTTTAGACCATGTGTATATTAGAATGTACTTGTAGTGGGGAAAAAAATGGAAAGAAAGAATGCTGTAGTATTGGTTGAGACATAAATTTAAAATCTTGATAAAGTTCATTTTCTTGAGGCCGGGGATTTAGCTCAGTGATATAAGTGCCTGCCTGATAAGGGTGAGGTCGTGAGTTCGATCCCTGGTACAAAAAAAAAATTCATTTTCTTGAATTACAAAACACATAGAAATACACTGTGCCTAAATAAGATATATCTTAGGTTAGGATTTTGTATCTGCTGTGTCATCTTTATTTGTTTTTGTTACATTTAATTTTGTGTGATGATTGTATTTTAATCGATGTACTGATAACTGTGGTAACAGTTAATTGGAAAATATACTCAGATTTTGAAATTTTATACATGTGGACTCTTGAGTCATTACCATAGTTTTAAATTTTCATGTTACCGAGAACATTAAAAAACAAGACAGGGGTGGAGGATGGACTTTTATAGCCTCACTTCTAAATTATAAAACGTAACAATGCTGTCATAATAATGGATTCATATTTGGTTAGAGATGCGGTGAGAAAGTGGATTTCTGTATCCCAAGTTAGTTTTTTCTATTTTGTATGTCTGTTCCTGGTATTTGATGTCAGTGTAATGGGATAGTGGCATGCTTGAGAGAAAGTTAGGGCAGAAATGCAGAGCGTGTTTTGGGGCCTGGATTATTTTTTCCCCCCATCTTTGGTGTTTGCACAATTTTTCAAGGTCCTCATCAGGAAATTCAATAGGAGGAGGAATAACTGAAGATATCTTATCAGTCCTTTAGTTTTGTTAGTGAATTTGCCAACTTTTAAATATTTCTTTTATACAAATCTAAAACTTGTTTGAAGTCCATTAAGAGAAACCAAAGCTACAGAGCATATTTTATTCCCATAGTCATTTTATTTCTTGCAAATTAACTTTCTGTATGATTACTTCCAAATGTCATTCACCCAAGAGATCAGTGGCCCAGGGGACTTTTATCCCCTCTCATATCACCCAGACCAAACACTGTTTCTCTTTCCAGGTGCTTTATCATAGAGATTTGTTAAGTTGACATTAAATCCTATGTAGCAGCTGCCAAACACAATAGAAATGTTGTTCAATGGATGATAGTTATCTTGTGTTGATTAATAAGTATCACTGATTTAGGGAAAAAGAAGATAGTTAACTTCTGGAAGGTTTCTTATATTTCTCTTTCTTTATAAGGAACCTCAGGTGTTCTGGATCTAAAGAACTGATTTTCATGGAAGAGAGACAATTTGATAAATGAAAATGTCTTTATGAACTTGTTATTAACTAATAATTACATTGTAGTCTTACAGGGTATTCACATTTTAGGGAAGAAGTCAGAAGAAAACAATACCATTAGTGGCCTATTTATTTACAGTATTTGAGATTGAACCCAGAGTCTTTTCACTGAGCTGTATATCTAGTCTTTATATGTATTTTAAATTTTGAGACAGGGTCTTGCTGAGTTACTAAGTGGACCATACTAGGCTTGAATTTGTGATCCTCCTACCTCAGCCTCCCAGAGTGGTGGAATTATAGGAGTAAGAGATGGAAACATAGAAATATCTAAGGAAAGAAAAGTCTAAGAAAAGAGGAGTTATTGATATTGGGAACATACTTTGATTTTACAAGGAGAGTTTTGAGGATAATGGTATTTGAAAATAGATATTTGTTTCTTGAACATTTCTGGAATATTTCCCATATGGCAAACATCAGTATTCTAAAATACATAGGGTAAGAGAGAAAATGACTTCTCAAGATATTTTAAAAAATTAAATTATTGGCCATGGTGGTGTACACTTGTAATCCTAGCACTCAGGAGGCGAAGACAGGAGGGTAACTGTGAGTTTAAGGCCAGCCTGGGCTACATAAATGAGTATAAGGCCAATCTGGACTACATGGTGACACTGTCTCAAAAAAAAATTAAGTTCATTAGTACATTTTAGGTACACATAATTATCACATTTATCATAGAGAAGCTAAACCTGTACATGATATATCTTGATTCTTTTTTTCCCCATTTCCCTCCCCATTGTGTAATCCCTCTTCCCTTACCTATTTACTTTTTTTTTTTTTTGTCTTTTTCTTTTTATTGGTACTGGGGATCGAACTCAAAACTGCCTGCTTGCAAGGCAGGCGCTGAGCTAAATCTCCAGCCCCCTTACCTATTTACAAAAGCTTGGTTTCCATTTTTTTCTTGTTTTTTTCTTTTCTCTTATTTCTTTTCCTGTCCTCCTCCCTATTTCCCCTTCCCATTTGAACGTATTCTTCCTCTTTAATAATATCTATTGTTTGTCAAGATGTTATAGTCAGAAGATAAAGGGAGACACTTAAAGTGGTGGACATCTGAAGAATTATCATGATTTTGCTTTATTTTTTATAAATTCTCTTCCTGGGGCTGGGGATTTAGCTCAGAGGCATAAGTGCCTGCCTTGCAAGCAAGCAGTCCTAAGTTCGATCCCTGGTACTGATAAAAAATTAAAAAAAATTCTCTTCCTGATTATAAAATAATACATCATATTGAATTAGAGTTTTTCTGTTTCTGAGGCTATCACAGAAATGTAAACTACACTCTAAATTATTTTTGGTACTGGGGATCAAAGTCAAGACTGCGTGCTTGCAAGGCAGGCGCTTATGCTGCTGAGCTAAATCCCCAGCCCTATAACTCTTACTGATACAGGGGAAATAATATAACTTCCACGCTGTGAGATGACACATATGCCAAGTTCATGTTTTCCAGAGTTAAAAAATGAGTTCTAAGGGACAACAGAAGTTAAGAGTAGGAAAAATTTATTGAGAGAGAACTTCTGAGAGACAGGAGGGGACGGGAGGGATTGCCAATGAGCCCTCTTCTCAGGGGAAGTTTTATAGAGCAAAACCACAAGGTAGATACAACATGGGTCTAAACTGTGATCAGCTAATAAGATTACAAGTATAGGTGCTTTGGTAATATTGATCCAGTGGGGAAGCAGGTCATGCAGCAAGTGTGCATGAGAAGAACAAAGTCCTTTAAGGTTCTGGGAATTGAACCCAGGTCCTTGTGCTTGCTAGGTAAACACTGTATCACTGAACTACATTCTGAGTACCTTTAGGAAGAGATGGATCAAGAGGGTCTTGGTCACCCACTCAGGTGACTAATGTCTTTCTAGACTTTATTGGACCAGGTGGTTCCAAGTATAGTATATTGCTTATCCCTTGGGGAGGCATGCAGGCCTGGTCATTCCATCTTTATCTTGAGGCCTGGCTTTAAAGGGATGGGCCTCCAGCCACAGTTGTAATGTGTTCTCATCCTCTGCCTGACTTCCTGGAGAGCCTGGCACTGCCTGCCTGTACTATTGCTACCTAACTTAGGTGTCTGTAATATTACTAGAGAATATGGATATAAAGATTATTTTAAAAAGTAATGTTTATTTACATAGTTAAAATTGTTACCAAATAGACCTTAGATATATAAGAAAATTTACTATTAAGCAAACTTAATGTAATTTATCATATTACTGTAAACCGGATTCTTGATGAAATAGTGTTTTTTGAATTCACTATTTTTGATGACAACTCCTATTATTTCCTTAACATCATTTTATAAACAGCAGAGTTAAAATCTAGCATTCTGTTCATTAGTGAGGTACTGGAGCATATCCTTTAAAATTGGAGAGAATATAAACATGGTCACTTATTTTCTGATAAAAAGACTTTAACAAAGAAGTATACTTTGTTCTTCGATAGAAGAGTTGGAAGGATCAGTACTGTGAAATATGTTAATTTACTCATATGCATTTTATTCTGTTTTTATCAAATGATAGGGCAAGTTTGGAAAAAATTGACTATATGGACCTAAACATCATAGAGAATAATACACATCTTAAGAACAACCAGAACAGAAACCCAGTCAAAAGAATTCCTAATGCCCTTACAAACACAGTAAGCCTTACCATTCCCTTTTGCCTGCAAATGGACTTTGCTGTTGCTTTTTACTCACAAGTGGACCCCTTGCAACTGTGATGACTGTCACAGCAAGTGGGCCTTGATCTTCTGTATGCACATATTCACAAGTCCCACAGAGTCCCACCCCAAATCTCTATAAACACACCTGCCCTGGCCTGGTTCGATGTCTCTGGAGGGCCTACAGTGTTTCCTTGAGTGTACCTTTAAACTTTTTTTTTTGTCTTTTTCCTTTTTATCGGTACTGGGGATTGAACTCACGACTGCCTGCTTGCAAGGCAGGTGCTTATGCCGCTGAGCTAAATCCCCAGCCCCCACCTTTTTTACTTTTGCCTAATAAATCCTTGTGTGTCTCTTACTGATGTGTCCTGAATGTTCTTCTGTAGCTAGGGTGAGTTTCTTTTCTCTGCTTTAGAACCTTCCTATTAGGACTGTTTTTGACCAACAGTAACGTTAGGCAAATGTTTAGTGTTCTTTGGGGGGTAAAATTGGTTCAGGGTGGGAACTGTAGAAGACTCCTTGGAACTGGATGAAAAGGCAACAGTCAGTTACAAAGATTTGGGCCGATGTTGAAGACTCAAAGTAACATAAGCAAAAACACTAGCATTTAAGATAGCACTAGCAGATATCAGTAGTTAGTTTACGTGAAATAATGCAGGAAACAAGTCTATAATAGTTTCCTGGGGCTTTATGGGTGAAATAACAAGGTTATTGTCTTTTAAAGTTCTGAAGACCAGAATTTTGAAATCTAGTGTTGGTTTCTTCTGAGGACTATGAGCAGGATTGGCCTCCATCCCCCTTTCCTAGTTTTCTGCGATATTCTTCCTGTGTCTACATGGTTTTCCTTCTAGATTTGGATTTATGTCCAAATTGTTATTTATTTATCTCTTTATTTAGCTACGCTGGGGATCAAATTCAGAGCCTCACAGGTTCTACGCAGTGGCTGTACCACTGAGCCACATCCTTTCCCCTCAGCATTCTCCCCAGTAAGGATAATGTCAGATTGAATTAGGGATCAACCTAGCTGTTCTAGTGTAATTTGGCAGCTTCAGGCAGTAGGACTTAAACATTTTATGGGGCACAGTTCAACCAACAGGTGGGTGAAGGTGATGTTTCAAAGAATGTAAAAGCCATTGTTTAATGTGTTGACTGTTTTCTTTTGGACAAATGGTGGGGAGTCATTAAAACATTTCATGCAAAGTAATACAAAGGGTTTTGATTGTAAGGTGAAAATGATCCCTCCAAAGTTGAAAGCAAGCCTGGCATACATCTTCTAGCACACACAGTGAAACTTTATCTCAAAACCCAGAAACAAATAAACAAAAGCAGAAACAAAACACAGCAAAACAAAATTGAAAGTAAAGCGATTTGAAGCTTATTGTTTATAACATCACTAGTTGAATACTTACACTGGGGCAGAAACACTGTCCTAAGTACTTTGTCATATTTAATTTTCAAGGGACTTTGTGAGATATGAATATTATTATAATTTGCCTTTTAAATAAGAAACAGGTTTACAGAAGAATAGAGTAGGGGGAAAGGTTTAGTTCTAAGTAGACTGGTTAAACTTGAAGTGTTGGCCAAATATTCCTGTGATAATGTTAAGTTGCTGGTTTATATTTTGGTTCTGGAATTGAGGTGGGTTAGAATGGAGGACCGGCACATAGTCATCTTCAGCATTGCGGTGCTGTTTGCGGTGCTGTTTGCGAGCATGGCTGGGCTTGTCTGAAGCCATAGATTAGGGTGGAAAATAAAAAATAGTGAAGAGATAGCTGTGTGCGCCGCCTGGTCTTGATTTGACAATGGTGGGGGGAGGTAGAAAAGAATAGAAGAACCCCCACCCCCAGTGTTGGGTATTTAATTCAGCACTTTTGCTCTGAACTGCATCCCCAGCCCTTTATATTTTTTTATTTTGAGACAGGGTCTCAGTCACTAAATTGCTTAGGCTGGACTTGAACTTGTGGGCTCCTGTCTCAGCCTCCCATAGTACTGATTACAGGTCTGCACTGCCACACCTGGTAAGTAAGGAAAAATTTTTAAAATGAGGTAGTGGTCAGTGTGTAAGGATATGAAGTATAGCAGCAGGGAATGGAAACTGAAATAAAATTTTTGTTAATGGTGCTGAAGATGAAAGCCCGGCTTCCTACATTCTAGGGCAAGTCCTGTGCCACCGAGCCACACACTCAGCCCCTTATCACTGACCGTGGGTGAGGTAAGTTTCTCTTAGAAAGTGGACTGCAGGTGAGCCAGTCATCACATTTCTTCTTGAGAGGTGTGCGCAAGTATAAAAAGTAAAGGTCAGTTAAAATTCAGTTAAAAGGAGTGTTTTTACTAAAGTTGGAAAGGTTTTAGCTTTTTAAAAAATGGTCAAATACTAAAACAGCAAAATAAGCAAAGCTTAACTAAGAAGCAAAGAGCCAGAATCATCGTTAATGGAAAAGAGGGTGTGGATAGAATTTCAGCTTTTTTATAAAATTCTAGTCCTCAATTATTTCATGGTTTAGAAAGTTTGATTTACTTCTACTTCTAGGGTAGAGGTGAGGAATTCATAATATAAAACAATCTGGTATTAATTTCGTTATTAAAATACTATAAAGCTGGGTGCAGCGGTATGCATGTGTAGTGTGAACTCTTCTGAAGTTCAAGAGGATTGCTTGAGACGGGTTCACAGCCAGTCTGGACGATGTAGCAAGGTATTATCTCAAAAAATCTATGTGGGTCTGCTTCTCATTCATAGCTGTCTGATAGCCAGGTAGTGCTTGCCTGGAGGCCAAGGCTATAAGATTGAGCCAGAAGCACAGAGAGTTTAAATATTGCTTTATGCAGTGTGTGAGAAAGAAATTTTTTGTAATATTAAAAAGTTTAGGACTCACATTCTTTGTCTTAGGCAGACTAGGAATTATTAGCCAATATAACATATACTTTATATTTTAAAAGTAATTTTGCTATATCTTCATTTCACAACTTATTTAAATTCTTGATGAAATGTTTCATACAAAATGAAGAGTGTATAAAATACATACATAGCCAGGTATGGTGGCTCATGACTATAATCCCAGCACTTGGAAGTGTGTGCGGCAGGAGGATAGATGCAAGTTTTAAGTTACCCTGGGCTACTTGGTGAGTTTAAGAACCACAGGAACTACATAGCGAGATCCTGTCTTAAAAACGTATATATGTAACAAAAACAGTAAATTTTGCCTATTTCTCAGGTTAAGAAATATAAATTATTAATATTTTAGCTTTCTTATATCCCATTCTTATCCTCAGGGGTGCCATTGTCTTGACTTATATATTTCTATTTTCTTGATAGTTTTTTTTTTAGCATTTGTGGAACTATTCCTAGATAATATGTTAATCTGTCTTACTTTCCTGTGGCTGAGACACAGTACTTGACACCAACACCTTAAAGGAGGAAAGGTGTATTTTGGCCCACAGTTCGTAAAAGTTTCAGTCCGTGGTAGGCTGGCTCCAAGGCAGGGCAGCATGGCAGAGAGGAATTGCTCAGGACATGGCAGGCAGGAAGCAGAGAGCGGGGAAGGAGATGGGGAGAAAGGGAGAGAGATGAGAGAGAAGAGATCAAGGGAGATGAAGAGGACGCTAACTCTAACCCTAACCCTTAACCCTCAACCCTCCCATGCCATGCCCCCAGTGACCCACCTCCAACCAGCTTTACCTCCCAAGGGCACTTTTAACTGTGAACTCACTAATAGACCAATCAATTGGTGCCTGTCGTGCTCCCATGATCCAGTCCCACCCCTACTCCACCTATGAGCACCTGAGGCTTTGGGGAGAAACCGTAACAGGCACCTAGCTGAGTTTGAGAAGGTCATGATTAATAAGGCTCACAGGAGAAGATACCTGTATGGAAGATTGCTGAGTTTCTGGTGCTTCTCCTTAGGTACTAAGTGGCAGTATTAGGAGTTCTTGGAAACGTAAGGCATTATCCTGGCTGTGCTACAGTATGAGCTGGATGTTACATATTCACTATTTATGTGATCATGTGAAGAGAGTTTTGTTCTGTATTTTTTGTTTCTAAGTTGGGGGTGGTCCCTCTAACATTTATTAGGAGTGGAGCAAAGCAGAACACATCCGGGTGTGACATGAATGTCTTCCGTTGACCCCAGACTGTGGGAAAGGTAGAGTGAATAGATACATCAAAGCAAGCAGAGTATGGATGAGTACCTGGCACAGGCTTACTGGGCATTGTGTCCTTAGGACAGCATTAGTAGGTATCTTAGTCATAACAGCTGTTGTGCTGTGGTAGGAGTCACGTTTCTGCCCTCCAGACTGGTTGCTCTTTTAAGTTGAGTACATAGGTGGCATCCTAGAATCTCTCCCAGTCTTCCTGAAGATTCCTGTTCTGTTTGCCACATGTTGGATGTCCTGTGTCTTGTGTCCTATATCCTAAATTGGCTTTGTTTTTTAAAAAGTTGACACTTTTTTTCAATGGGATATGTCTTCAGGTGCATCTTAGGGTGGGTGGAAGATAAATGTTTTGAGTTTATATCAAATATTTTTATTCCTCTTCCAGAAGATAGTTTGGGTGATAAATTCTAGGTTGTTCTTTTTTTTTTTGTCTTTTTCTTTTTTATCGGTACCGGGGATCAAACTCACGACCATGCACCTGCAAGGCAGGCGCTTATGCTGCTGAGCTAAATCCCCAGCCCCTGATAAATTCTAGGTTGGAAATATTTTTCCTTCATAATTTCTAAAAGTTGTGCCACTGTCATCTTCTTTCTGATATGACTATTGAGAAGATTGAAGTCTGTTCTGATGTTCTTTGTGTGGTGGACAGCCTGTATTTTATTTCCAGAATCATTTTTTTGTCCCCTGTATTACACAGTGATGTGTTTCAGAGTAGACATTACTTTTGGGTTTTTTTGCTAGACACTTGGCAAGTTCTTTCAAATGAGCAGTTTATATCCTCAGCTCTAAAAAAATTTTTAAATTGTTTATTGGAACAGTTTCAATATACATAATGATCATAATCATCATAGGGAATTTGTGCCTTGCATATTTTGATTCCTCTTTTTTTTTAGAAAAATTCACTTATTTTGTCCAAACCTTACTTCACTTGCCTCCTTTCCTATTTGCTCTTGCTGGAACTCCCGTAAACTCATAGTTTTGGAACTCCAGGACTGGTCGTCTCATTTTGTCTTACCATTTTTCTCTAGTTCCTGGAGATCGCTTCTTTTTTTTTTTTGGTCTTTTTCCTTTTTTTATCGGTACTGGGGATCGAACTCAAAACTGCCTGCTTGCAAGGCAGGCGCTTATGCCGCTGAGCTAAATTCTGAGCCCCAATCGCTTCATTTTTATTTTTCAAGTCTATTGTTGCTGCTGGTGGTGCTCTTCCTCCTCCTCCTGCACTTGGTCCTTTTGCATCTTCCTCTTCCTTTTCCCATGCTCCTCTTCTTCCACAAAACTGTGTTGTTGTTTCTTAATTCTTCCTTTTTCTCTCCTCATTCTTTCTCCACAAAACTATTGTTACTTCTCTTCCTCTGTCTTCCTCACTCCTTCTCTCCCTTCTTCCCCTCAACAGAACTCTCGTTTCCCCCTTCCCAGAGCTCCCTTCTCTTTCCCCCTTGTCTTGGAGGTGCTTGGGAAATGAACCCAGGGGCATGTCCCTGGCCCTATTTCTTCATTTTAGTCATCGTGTTTTTAATTTCTAAGACCTCCTTTCTTTGTCTTTTAATTTAGAATATCCTTGACTGCATTGTGTCCTGTACTTGTTTTATGTCTAGTAAACTTTACTTCTTGGAAGAAGCAGTTGGCATTTTCTGTGGATTTGCTTGCTATACAGTACGGTACGTCCTTGCCCAGCTTTATTTGCTTTCCTGGATCTGCTTAAGTACCTAAGAATCTGTGTACTTTCAGTGTTCTAAGATTGTATTGCTCTTACCTTCTCTTGTGTGTTGCTCTTAATTTTTCTGTGAGTTTAGGAATAAAATATTCCTACCTGTTGTAGTGGCATTCATGAAGGAGTAACATTATCTACCTATTTTTAATCCACTGTCATAATTCTCAAGCCCCAATTACTGAAAATGTTTAATCCATACCTTTTGAAACTTTAAAAGATGATAAAAGTTAGCTCTTGTCATCTCTTGTTTTTATGTCAGTGTTTGTGATGTGTTGTGTGGCTTGCTGAGGGCTGTGTGAGCTGAGGGTTTGTGAGTGAGTCTGGAGTCTTGCGGATGAAGAAGGGTTGATTGCTGTGAACTTTGCTCTTGTAGGACAGTGGAAAGGCTGCTGAGTATCGCGCAGTGATTGTGGAGCCGGTCCCCAGTGCCCGAGTAGAGCAGGGCTACGCGGCTCAGGTGTTGGTCTATGACGATGGAACTTACCTGATGGAAGATGTGGCGGAAGAGCAAGAAGTTGAGACCGAGAATGTGGAAACAGGTAGACATTTCACAAAATATTCATTGCTTAACGCTTCATTATCTTACTTACTTTAGCAGTATGATTGCCAGGTAAATCTCGTATTGAATAACCTCTTTCTAATTCTATTTAGTATACTATGGGAAACAGTGAAAGAACTCCGTGTAGGAAATTTGTATAGACTGTAATTTTTTTTGGTGCCAGGGATTGAACTCACAGCCTTGTGTTTGCCAGGCAGGCGCTTATGCCTTAGAGCTAAATTCCCATCCCCTAGATTGTAATTCTTTGAGAGCCTCATGTAATGGGCCCTACTAACAAAGTTACGGTACCACAATGATAAAATTATTTTCTTGGTGGGAAGCACAGATACTAGTTGTTGTCTAGTTGTTGACCTCAACTCCTTAGCTCAGTAGGTTAGTATATGAAGTAACTTTTTGTTTTGTTTTGTTTTTTTGAGGCACTGTGAAGTTCAGGCTGGCCTTGGGTTCAAAGCCCAGGCTGACCTCAAACTCATGGTGATCCTCCTGCCTTAGACTCCTAAGTACTGGAATTACAGGCATGTACAACCACTATGGTATTTTTATCTTATAACTCATTAAAAGTTTTATTTATTTATTTATCTTTTTTAAGACAGAGTCTTGCTATGCAGTTCAGGCTGGCTTTGAGCTCACATTGTAGCCCAGGCTGGTCTCGAGCTCACAGTGATCCTCCAGCTTCAGCCTCCCAAGTGCTGGGACTACAGGTGTGTTTGTCACCACACCCAGCTTCATTAAAAGTTTAAAAAAAAAAAAAAAACTATCAATACTGATAGAGTTGTACTTTTTCCCCCTTTAAGTCAGAAGTAGGAATCATTGTATCAGTCAGATTCCTTTTCCCTTGTAATCTTAGAAATCTTGTTCTTTGCATCTAGCTGTACATGTTGTGGTGATTGGGGTGGAGGATGGGCTACATTCCCATCCCTTTTTTATCTTTTTGTTTTGAGATGGGCTGTTACTTAATTGCCCAGGCTGGGTTTGGACTTGTGACCCTCCTGACTCAGCCTCCCTGTAGTGCTGGGATTGCAGTTGTATACCACCATACTCTGCTAACTGTTTAGTTGGTGAATTAGTATATATTGGTGGTGAACCTATGGCACACATGTAGATTTTCTTTTAAGACAAAAGATGAAACTGAAGTCTCAGTATTCATGTTTTATTGCAGTGTTGGCACTTTGTAATAGATAAGTGGATTTTGGGTTGCAATTTGGGCACACTTCTCTAAAAGATTCGCCATCATTGGTATACTGTGTAATTGTTGGGGAAATCTTTTCACTTTTGTAGCGACCCTAAAAAAAAAGAGTATTGTCCTAGAAGAATTTTAGTGATCATTATGCAGTAATAAACATGAAAATTTATCTTAATTTAACTGTTAATGTTGGAAAAAATACTTAATACTTGACTTGTAGGCCTAGTAAAAATTTTTAAGTATTCAGATACTTTTCTATGAGTATAGTAAACCTCATGATCATGGGTTTTTGAATATTTGATGTCTTTGTGCTTTGCCCAGTGGTCCCCTAGGGCTGATTGCTTCTTCTAGCTTAAAGTTTTATTTCTTTTTTCTTTTTTTTGGTGGTGTTGCTCTTGAACTGAGGGATTAGAAATTCCTTGCTCTTAGAGCAGGTAGGATAGAGCAGTAAGGATAGCTGTATCAGCAAATGACGGGTGAAATATTACTCAGTTTATTTTATAAAAACAAGCAGTCAGCTAGATGTGATATTGAACACTTATAATCCTAGTACTGAAGAGGCTGAGACAGGAGGATTACATAGCAAGACTGTGTTTCAGAAAGTAAAAAATTAATTAAAAAACTAAGGGGCTTTAGTTCAGTGGGGATTTAGTTCAGTGGCGTAAATGTCTACCTGGCAAGTTCAGGGTTGTGAATTTAATCCCTGGTACCAAAAACAAAGCAAAGCAAAACAAAACAAACCCAACCCCAAGAAGCCAGACATTATATAGTCTTCTTGACCACGTGTAGGTTGGGACCTGACTAATGATAGATAATATATGACTCTTTATAATAAGGTTTGGAAAATTTTCCAATTTGAGGGTAGAAGTATAGTGACTGAGATGAATTTTTTTCCTTGAGGAAAACAGAATAGTAAAAGTATTATGATATTTTGAAGTATATATTATACTGATTTTACTATTGGCATGTAACAAATAAAACAAGTTACACAAGAAAATGTGTAATGGATGTAGGCCTGCACAGCATAAAAGTGTGATAGATTAAATTGAATGAGAAAATAAAGGTAGAACCTGTTTGAAATTTACATATGATATTTTGATCAAATAATGAGAATAAATTTTGGTATCTAATGAGAAATTTGGAAAGCTGGGCATGGTAGTGCACACCTATAATCTCAGCCCTTGGGAGGCTGAGGCAAGAGGATCTTCAAGTTTGAGGCCAGCCTGATCTGTATAGTGAGTTCAAGGCCAGCTTGAACTATATAACAAGACCTTGTCTCAAAAACAAACAAAACTTTAAAAAAATCAATTCTACATGCCGAAGTTGCATAAGTAGATAAATGTTTATTAAAATACTGGAGCAGGTCACCAAATTTTATTAGTTTATAATTGATTGTAAATACTTCGTAAATTTAATCAGGTAAAAGCTGTTTTAAATAGGAAGTAACTATGATCTACATAAAAAGTCTGTTTTAGTTTTGTTGAAGTCTGAATGATATTATTCATTAGACAGAAATGAGCAACTGTGGTGCAAGGTGGCAGGAGTCTGGGGAAAGAATACTTTCATACTATTTTATAAGTGGCACTTGAATATTTGATAACGATTTTTAGACTTTTCTTTGTCACAAAAGGAAATGTTAGCAAGTCACATTATATGAAATATCCCTGAAGTTTCTCTTTCATATCAGATTCCGCTTCAACTCATAAGTTTCAGTGTAATTTTATTGGGATAGCTAGTAGTCATAGATTCTTGTTTGTATCAGTACATCTGAGCTTCATTTTGTTTCTGTTGCTAAACATTTTGGGCTGGAGATTTAGTTCAGTGGTGTAAGTGCCTGCTTGGCAAGTTGAGGTTGTAAGTTCGATCCTGGTATCCTCTCCAAATTGCATTTTTAAATGAATTAAACTCTGAATAAATTTTCATTCTTCTGATTCCTAAACCATACATGGATGAATAAAAGTTGTTGTGACCTACTGTAATGTATGTTTCCTTTTAGGTAGTGATTAGGATCAGGTTCTTTTCTTGTGACAGTAATTTGTAATTTAAATTCCACATACATTTGAGTGTTGGAGAAAAAAAGAAAAGTAAAAGGAATATTTACAAGATTGTAGTTTTTATTTGGTGAATTGAGGTCTGTGTTTCCATGTATACATCTAGGAAGCACTTGTGGAAATGCTCCCATATTATAAGTTAGCTTATATCAGGTATTGTTATATCGGCTAAGAATGCTCATAGGTTTTGTTTTGTTATGTAAAATTTTGTTGTGTTTTGTTTGAGACAGGATCTTGCTATGTAGTTCAAGCTGGCCTTTTTGTCTGGTGAAAATATTGTGTATTCCCCAGCATTTTTCTAATGTGCATCACTTGGACTATGCTATCTCAGCTTCCAAGGTTGAGGCACAGCTGTCTGAAACTTTTCCACAACTGTTTTGGCCACACTGTGTTTTATGATCTTCTATTACACCATCCGAATTTTAGGCAAATCTCTTTTTTTGGTACTGGGGATTGAACTCACCTCGGGCTTGCCAGGTAGGCAATTCTTATAAATACCTGGTGAGTCTATTTGCACCTTAAAGACAGAAGCCATATTTTATTGTTGAAATTAGTGTTGACCATAGAATAACTAATTTGGAAATACAAACTGGGACAAATTGAATTTTGAGTAAGCAGTGTAATATAATCAAGAACCAGTTGCGGCTGGGCTTGGTGGTGCACACCTGTAACCCAGCAATGTGGAGGGGGACTGCTGTGAATTTAAGGCCAGCCCGCACCATATAGTGAGACCCTGTCTCAACAGCAAAGCAGAGCGAAACAAAACAAAACTACTATATAAAATCTTAAATATATTTTCTTTTTTTGGTTAAATATATGCAAATATTGATTACCTTTAAGGTTATTTAAAATATGAAAAGATAGTCATCCAAAAAACATAAGTATAGTCATCTAAGGTATTACATCAAAGTAATAATATTGTCATATTTAGATGTGCTTTATTGTATAATTCCAGTTAGTTTTAAATATTCTTGATGATAACTAAATTTGGTTATTTTTATAACAAAATCAATATATGTTCAATGGAAAAATTGAAGTACTGCAAAAATAAACTTGACAAAGTCATCACTCATAGTTTTACCAGCAGGGAGAACAGTGACTGCTGTGTTGCCCATCATCTCTCTGAACTTTGAGACTCAACTGATCGCTGACCTTAGCCTTTCAGACAGCTGAAAAGGCACATGCTAACTTTCCCAGCTGACCACTGCTGCTTTTACATTTACTTCTAGTCTTTGTTTTTTTTTTTTTTTTTTTTTCTTGCACCATAGATCAAACACTCGACCTCATGTTTGTTAGGCAGGCACATAAGCCACTGAGCTAAATCCCTGACCTCAGTTAGTTTTTTTTTTGTTCTTTTTTGGAGTACTTGTGATCAAACTCATGACCTTGCACTTACCAGGCAGGTGCTTATGCCACTGAGCTAAGCCCCCAGCCCCTCGTTTTGTTTTTTGAGACATAGTTTCGGTGGATAGTTCAGACTGTCCTTGAACTTGTAATGGTTCCCAGGCTGGTCTCAGCTCACAGTGACCTTCCTACTGCTTCAGCCTCCCAGGTGCTGGGATCTCAGTGTGTGCTTCTATTCCCGGCTACCTCTTAGTCTCTTAATGTACATTTTAAGCATAATTATCTTGTTATATGTAACACAAGCACACTTACTAATCTTTATTAATAAACACAGGCTGTATTAATACCCTTTTAGCTTCTTTCTTCTGTCTTCTGATCAGTATGGGCATGATTGTGCTTTTT